TAATCTTCACATGCTCTCTCCGTTTTAGTAAGCATGTCAAACGTAGGTACAGCACCCAATTTCCAAAAGTCAGACAGCATCTGATCAGTTTCCACTTGTATATTATTAACATAGATAGTAGGATTAACTTCTGTTGAATTATTCACACTACCTGAAATAATCCATCCTAGTTCAGAACGAGAAGCTACCGGTTTACCTTCTTCGCATTTAATTATTTCTCCCTTTAAAAGAGGTAAGGCAATATCTACGCCTAAAAGTATATCAACAGGCCCACTTTTGTAAAATGTTGGATCTGCTAACATTAAATCATTATATTCCTCAACGTACTTCTTATCCAATGTAAAATGCGGCAAAGTTCCAATAATTCTATTGATGATAAATACTGGTGTTTTAAATGACACTTTCGCCGGAAAATGCGGAACGAAGTTTATTTCCGTAATTCCATTAGTTTTCGTATCCAAAGACCCTAAACATGAAATAAAAACTTTGGCATTTCTTCTTGCTAACCCTAGCCTTTGTACACAATCTTCTGAAATCAGGCTTGCTTGACTGCCAGGGTCAAGGAGGGCTCTACACAATTGGTATTCACCCGATGAATCTAACACTTTAATAACAGCCGTACATAATAAAACTTCACGCTGAAAATTAAAGTCTGAAACACAAGATTTAATTACTGGACTAGAACTTGCGATATTTCTCCCCTGACCCAGCCGATTGAACGCGAGGTTCTGGCCCAGGGAAAAATGGCTTAGCCGTCACTGATAATTCATTCGAACTGTTCGTAACTCCTTTACGTGCCTTTGGTTCATTTTGAACTCTTTCGAAATGCAGTAGTGTGTGATGATTTTTAAAGCACTTTTTACATTTATGTGTACTTCTATTCTACACTCGAAAGCTTTATGATTTGAAACCAAACAATTAAAACAAACATTATTTCTCTTGACAAAATTAACGCGTTCCTGAACATTCAGATTTAAAAACTTATTACATTTAAAAACTGAATGACCGGCTTTACAATACGTACACTGCGCGCGAATCTCTGAAGCCAATGAAGTTAATTTGTCTTTTTGTAACTTGTTTTTTAACACCTTGCGTTTTACCTGCTTGCAAGGTTCTGGCATGAGATTTCAAGAACTCTAGCAGATTATTAAGTGTTGGTATTTCCTCACTCTTTAATGTTCTTTCCCACCATCCTCTCGTCGAAGAATCCAATTTAAAAAACTGTACTATTAACATTAAAATAGTATCCGCGAATTGCTCCACTTTGAATCCTAGATTTTCAAACGAACATACACACTCTCTTACAGTGTCTACTAACGCTAATATCTGACTAGGAATTTCAGCTTGTAAATTTGATAAATACAAGATTTTCTTTAATAACGATGAAAGTAATTCTCTCTTATGTGAAAATCTTTGACACAATAAATGCCACGCTATTTCGAAATTCCTGTCACAAATAGTTAAAGCTTGAACAATCCGCAAAGCATCTCCTTTTAAAGAATCCCTTTAAATATTGTAGCTTTTGTGCACCTGATAAACGGTCATTATCCACTATCGCCGTTTTAAATAAATAAAAAAATGATAACCATTCTTCAGTACTGCCATTAAATACAGGAAGAGTTAGCTTAGGTAAGCGTATACTCGCTATTTCACAAGATTTAGTTTCCACACTAATGTCTTTAACATTCTTAACTCTGGTTAGCATTAAAATTAACTCATCAACAGTATCTTGTATTACCTGTTGTTCTTCTATAAATACATCAATATCTTTTTCTTCACACACTACAAATATGTTACTAAAAGTATCGGTCATTAAATTATTTAATCTAGATTTAAAAAGTTCCAACTGATCAACATCAGCAGAATCGTAAGTCACTGTAAGTTCGGTCATTAAATTATTTAATCTAGATTTAAAAAGTTCCAACTGATCAACATCAGCAGAATCGTAAGTCACTGTAATTTTCTCTTTCAGTTTACTTAACTTAGCTTTAGCTACACGCTTTTTAGTCTTAAGCGTTGTAAATTCCATTATCTAATAAGAAAGATAAGAAAAACACACTGACTCACCAAATTTACTGCGACTCCGGCTCGACGGACCAAAAAACATGTACGTTCCGTTGTTAAAAATAGTGGACTGTAAATTGACTTGATATTACTTCAGTATAGAACCCAAAAAACCTCAGAATCATAACGCTGACCGAAACTTCTTTATTGACTTTCAAAGTAAGTTCGTTGAGGAACGGCGAAGACCACACTGCCAACTCCGAACTCAGTAGCGGCTTACCAACACAAACTCAGAAGAACCTCTGCTTAGTTGAAACTCCAGTAATTCACAGCAACCTCAAAGCTCTAAACGCGAGCTTTAAAAACCTAACAAATTTGCGTCTGCGCCGCTCCTCGGTACAAAGAACGAAATACAATTTGCATAACATCGAACAATCATCGTTACTTGGATACAAATAAGATGCGATAACGAAGAGACATGAAAGATTAAATAAAAGAGGAAATATGGGTGATTAAATTTAGATTAAACAATTACTCAAATTCAAGTATATACTCATAAAAATTGATTACTTATACTGGAGGGTAAAAAAAATTCGAGGTATTAAAAAAACTGCCTTTTTCTTCATATGTTTTTATTTGGAGTTTGTTAAGTCATAAATCATTTCTTTACGGACTGCTCACACTTGCCACGCCTGAAATATTGGCGATTTCCTACTTCATAATTCCATTGCCTTGCGTTGGCAAACGCTGTAAGCTATATAATACCGCTTGAAATGCAGCTCGAATTTATGGTACCGTTAACCACTGGCAAAGTCTCAATTACGAAACATTACTAGACCACTAGTACTTAGTTCATACGTTATACTTCGTGAATCCTGATCTGAGCCTCACCATTTTAAATTATCGTTTGCACTATCGTCTGCTTTCTGTTCATGGTTATACACAGAAATGAATGTAAGTTATTCCATATCAGGCACTCATTTTTTTCTCCATTTTTTAAATCCCAGACTTCCCCTTATTTTAAGGAATACATATTCGTCTGCCAGATCTTTAAACGATTTAAAGGATTTCGCTGAGTTACTCAGCAATACTCTTTTAGCGGTAATCTGTTAAATTTTGGTTAATTTGATTAGAGGAGAGCCCGCGAGGGCTATCTGCCCAGTAGTCTAACAAAGGAACTGTGAGTAAGATGTATCAAAGAGTTAAGAGTTTTACTTCAGCATACTGCATAACCTTTTAGTCTCATTTAGCAACGCATGAACTTCTTTGGTTGTTATATTTAACTCAATTGTATTCAAGTCAAAATATATTTCTTCGACTTATTAACAGAGTTCCTATAGTTTTCAGGTGCCCAACAGCTGCCGAGAGGTAAAGTTGCTGAACAGTGGCTGTTTGACTTAGGTTTGATTGCAGGTGAGGGGACTGGGTATATGACGTTTTTATGGTATTCCCCATGTGTAACGTGGATACAAGCCCTCCATGAAACCACCCCTTCTCTTAGTTAAAATCGCGTGCGTTGCCATAATCATATACATCAGTCAACCTATACTTTTTATGCCATAGAACATCAAAATCTAGTATAGAGTGCCCCATTAAAAGCTCTAAATACCATATGTATAATAAGATATTTTAGTTTTAGGAGATGGAAAATATTTTTACAGGCTTACAACTGGTATATATTCTGATTTAAGAGTGAAAAATAAGATCTTTTGTGTATCCTTCATAACTTGTTCTACAGCACCGTATCCTCCCGATGAAATTCGTAATTACTTTCTCACATACCTGTCTACCGAGGTGACTAAAGATATGTTCAATTTCCTCTTTAAATTTTTTTATTCTTATTGTATAAAGTTGGATTTTTTGGGATTTGCAATAACACTGTCATGCACAATAGCGGTATTTTCAACAAATCGGCTGCACTGACAGCATTGGGACAGCTATCGAACTTGTGTCATCAAATTCTTTTATCAATCTGCGATTCGTTTTTCTGTTAGATGCATTTTCACATAAAAAGATTGTACGAATCTTTCTAACAGTCTATCCGTAACATTTATAAGGTATTTCTCCCACCTTTCTAGCTTGCCTTCGTGGTGTAGGGGTTCTGCACGCTGGGCCGGTATTCAGAAGTTTGTGGTTCGAATCCCGGCGAAGGCGATTGCTCATTTTTCATCTTCCCTGCTTCCAAAAAATTACCTAATGTGTCTACAGTGACGCCCTAACTGAAAGGGTTGTGGATGATGACTCTCCACACCCAGGATTTGGCGATTGGGGTCCCCTAAAAACCCCAGTCGCCCTTTAAAAGGGGGAGTATATAAGGTTCTCTCGCCTTTCTAGCGTGCCTTCGTGGTGTAGTGGCTCTGCGCGCTGGGCCGTAATTGTCTTTACACATTCATCACTCTTTTAACGAGTTTTCACATTCAAAACTCGCTGTTCCTTTGTGTAGTGTTCTAAATCGACTAAGCTGCCGCGAAGGTGGGAAATGAACTGGCAAGGATAAATTGCCAGTCTTACTAAGTCAAATCAAACGCAACATTTTTAAATCCGAACACTTGCCTATTGTAAGTACGTAAAAATATTTTCCATTTTCTAAAAAACAAAGCATTTTTATAGGCATATTAAATCTAGCGCTTTTATTAGGACACTTTATGCATTCCATTAACAATGAGTATACACGTGTACAGACCTCACAGAGATTTTCAGATGTTTTGGTAATGAATCATCGATCCATAGACACTTTTTTATGAATGTAAATTGTTGAAAGATATCGTTATTCTTATATTAAATTTATGAATTTGATGTGTGTGTCGGATGAAAGCTTAACTAAATTATATTGCACTAAAAACAAAATATAATGAATTATGGACAATTTTAAAATTTATGTTAATATTATGTTTTTGTAAAACACTTATTGCGATTACTATTTTTTTATTTATTCGGCATTTATAAAGTGCTGTGATTGAAATTCTCTTATTATTTTTTCGAACTTTTACTTTCAGGTAAATGTTATTATCTTCCTTTCGATAATGCTGAGTTTAATATCTGTTGGTGTTAGCTTGACGCCTCCAAGGATACTGTTTGGTGGATGGACACCTATTCTGCCCGGTCACCCTTTCTACTTCGGTCCAGTAAGAAGGAGACACAATGAGGAATCGGATTATCAGAATCAAATCCAATATACAGAAAATTTTCCCCATGCAGTGCAGCACTTTCATTCTCCAAATGCCAACTATGAAAATGATCATATTGGAAAGGAATACGTTCTTTCTGATAGTCATAAGCAGTATGTGCCATCTCATGGCAAGTACGATTCTCCTCGTTGCCGACCTTCACATGAACCTTTACATTACGAATCTCCTCATGAACCTGTCAATTACGAAGTTTCTCACGATCCTTCACATTATGAAGCTCCACGTGAACCTCCACATGAATCTTCACATTATGAAGCTCCTCTTCAACCTTCACATTATGAAGAAGCTCCTCGTGATCCGTCACATTACGAAGCTCCTCATGAATCTTTGCATTTCGAAACACCTCGTGAACCTTCACATTATGAAACTCATGACGAGCGATTGCATCACGAACACCCTCGTAATAAACCATCGCATGAGCCTCGTTTCAAGCATTCCAAAGATATTTTTGCATATTATCCTCCTCAATCAATATATGATCAACCTCCTCAAAATGAAAATCTTGATTATAAACCAGTATACGTGGAACATCCTAGGAAACCTTTCGAAATTTATGAAGACCCCCATCAAAATATTCCTTATATTCTTCCAAATGGGAAAGAAATCTCTATTAAAGATCTTAATTTAAATGATTTCTCTTCTGTTCAACATGGAAATGGAAAGAAATCTTTTAAAATAACATCCTTAGGGCAAATTGATCCGAGAGCAGTGAAATATCTTGGTGAAATAAATATAAATAAAGTGAAAGTGATTCCGAAACCTTTTAATAAGGAAGGATACCATTTATCACATATAACCTCTGGTAAAAGTAACATTCCAAGCAATGACGCACTGCTACGTGTTCCTCTATTACACGGTGAGAAAAGCATACCCAATTTCGAGTCAAATTACAATTTAGCCAATCTTGATATTAAATCTGGAAAAGGACACTTACCTTACACGATAGAGCAACCTTATATGGTCCACAAGCATATGAACAATTTTAGAGGGACTCCTTTTCCTCCTGCACACAGTAATATAGTGCCAAACAGTCACAAAAATACGTATTCGGACCAGAAACCTCGCTTGCTTAATTACCCATCACCGCAAGAACTAAAATCCTTACAACATAGCACATCCACTAATCTCCTAAATCAAAATGGTTATAAGAGTCAGAAATTTGCTGCTTTTCCTACTTCTTCTCTAGATTTATACACCCCAAATCACGAGTTATTTTCTGACGTTCAGTATCTGACTGAATCGATTCCCTCCAAAGAGACTAAAACCAATTTCTTTTCACCCAAAAACATAGGTAAGAACTTGGCTAATCAAATGAAGAATTACTTAGGCCCTAAAGGGAAACCTTATGGATCAGTTCAGTCATTTAATTCATTAGGAACTCCAAAAACGTTGTTATTTCCAGGAAAACTTCCATTTAACATGCCTTTGGCTCCTCTAAGAAATTCACTGAAAACGTTCGGAGGTTCTCTAATGCCAAGCTTACTTAGAAACCATCTAAATAAAAATGTTAAACTTGGTGGTATTTATCGTGATCCTAGTGTAATAACAAACATTGGTGGAACGCCTGCAGTTGTAGACAGAGAAGTGGCAATAATACATGTTCCAGTTTCTAATCAGCCAAAGTATTTAAACAATATGAAAGGATATCCAAATAACGAAGATATATTGTTTCTAGCGAGCACACCAGAATCAACTGAAATCCGAAATTTTAAAGGCTTTAATAAAACCGGACATTACATCTCTACAGAGCGAAATCAAGGTAAGTTTGTCACCAATAAAACTTACTCAGAGAACTTGCAAGAAACGGATATCAAATCTGAAATGAATAGCTATCCGAATGTTAATGAGGCTATTACACAAAACCAGTTCATTTTTGTGGGAACTCAAGGCATAAACAACCAAGTTAGACAAAATATTCCCGGAGAAGAAAATCAGAAGCAATTTTTCCATGCTTATTACGCTCCTGCTGATCATGTACCACCCAAAGGTTATGTGAAGATGACAACAGAAGAATTTAATAAGCTATTTAAACATGCTGAGATACGTTACCTTGATAAGGAACCCATTGATATTTTACAATATCCTAATGACAGAAATAGGGAAAATACGAATCCGTAAGAAATACTTCTTTTACGAGATATTCTTTATGCAATCAGTATTTGAAATTTGCTCAAGACTAATTTCGCATATTAGACCTTATTTGCTCAACTGTTACTTCTATGACATTTAAAAATGAAGACACTTCGATGACTAACTTCAAGGTTTACAACTGTGGCTTGCCTTATATATTTTAATATAATATAAAAATGACAAGGATCTATGTCTGTTACTTTTTCTATTTGTCCATTGCTTTTTGTTTAGTGATAAATACATCATCTCTTATTGTTACCAATTCTTTTATTTCTTCTTAAGAAAACTATTTGCTTTTTTATTTGTTATTTATTTCGCAATGTAAAGCGAATATCGTTGAAACTTTTTGTATATGTTGTAAATAAACTGTCTATACATACTTTGTCTAGAATTCCTTTATCCAAATAGTTTGCATAAAACATTCTTTTTTAGTTGATGAGCATTCCCTTTTATAAACCTGAAAGGAAAAAAAATCTGATGTCTACACCACATGACTTCCTTGTACGGAATATTAAATTATACACATTTTTTGCTGCATTTTATTTAAACTTATCGAATTGAATTAAATCTACTTCGTCGACAGCGCATAAACCACAATAGAAAATGCGATTTTTAAAATTTACTATATATTTATTTACCATAGCGATACTCTGGCGCTAGGTTAACTTAACAGCGTCACATCTCATTCATTTTAGAAGTCAGAATGCAAAAACGTTATATCATCTGAATAATTATCTAATCGTTGCCACATGTTCTATTTAAATAATATAATAAATCTGAAACGATGTATATAAGAAATTAAACAAGTAAAAAAAATTTGGAAGGTTTCAGATTTTAAATTACATCCAAAGGGGTGTTTTTTAACGTTTTGTGTGTCACCTTTATTTATTGAATATCATGTTCTTTGCACTTACTTCATAAAATTAAGCTCAACAGCAATATCGCAAAATAATTTTAAAATGAGCATATCTTTAGAATTTCCGATACATACATAGTTCCACGCGCTGGAGATAAAAAGGTCACCCCCCGTAGAGTATTACTGTTGCTCGCTTTTAAATCGTTGAGTTTGTTGATCAAAAATTCGTTAAAATTTTAGAAAATATGAAATCGATAATAAAACAAATTCCAATTTTCAAATTTGGTCTTCCACATGCCCATATTCGTAGGAGGATTACGTCATTAAAAATTGGATGGTTCTAAGTACCGTTGTTTTATGTCAATGTGAGAAACATACATTTATGCAGATTCTTCATTAATTAATTTCTTCAAATATAGTACAGGGCGATAGTATTTGGTGGCAACGATTTGAAAAGTGATACGATATTTATAGGGGTACCGACGCAAAATCGCAAAACGAAAACAGTCTTTCAGGGACAAAGCCCCTTTGAACTAATAAACAGTTTTTCACAGACGATTCAGCTCTGCTTACCTTATGCGCATGTGCTTCTCGTAAACATTCTCCTCTGTCCGAAACAGACTGGCGACAGTATTTTCTGCTAATATGAAACAATTATTTCCTCGAATTTCATTAGAAATGTATTTCTCATTCAATTAATTCAATTCTCACTTCACAACAAGGCAAAAATAATAAATACACAAAAGATCTTCATTAAAACTTTAAAGCTATAGAAAAACATAAAACACCAAATATAATTTAAAAAATTTTAAAAAAAAAACAATTTTTACAATTAAAATTACAGTTTCTACACAAAAACAAGCAATTCGGCCAGCGAGCAGGAAGACAGATTTTTCGGTGCACAAAACTGAAAGTTTACTTTTGGTCTCACTCGGCAAAAAGACGCTGAAGGCGTAGAAATTGACTTAATGTGTTGTGGGCGCTATACTGAGTCAATATTAGATAATTTAATAACTTAAATGATAATTCCAGAACGGATTAAGCATAATTTAATTCGCAATAATAATAGAAGACGTTACTTCGTTGTTGCGAACCTTAGTTTCTCTAGATTGGCAACAAATCCACTATTCGGCCAAGTTTCAAATGTAAACAACTATGGCTGCTATGACAAAAAAATACGCTTAGCCGTACGTAAACAGCTTTTAAATTGTTGATAATTCTACAACTATAACATGCAGGTAAATATTAATGGCAGGTATTTTTGCATAAAACCTTAACCGGTAGATAAGAACAACATAATTCAATCATTTTTAAAGCAAAACATGCACAATTTACAAACGTGTAAGAATAAAGAAACTGAAATCACTAAGCCTATTAACAGAGTGAATATATATATATGTCATATATTATATACTTTTGGTGTGGCCGATTGCAACCAAAATAGGAGGTGCACATCTACATGTACAGTGCCCTATATACAAAATTTCAACTTTCTCCTTGCTGGTGTAATGATTACACGGGAACAGGCACTTAGGCTGTGTAAGCCTCACCCTGGTTTGAACATGTAGATGGTGAACATATCTTATGCGAGATACATACATACATACGTACGTAGGTACAAGACGCCACGACAAAATATCTTCAGAATCCATTTTAAATCAGTTTTATAATTTTTAGGGGGGGGGAAGTCCTTTATTCTGTCCTTACATACAGAATGTCACGCTAACACATCGTTAAATTGCATTCTATAGCTGTCAAAATGGACATTTTCGTTAAAATATGATACCCGAAATTTTTTGCAATTACAATACTTCTTATCTACTTCGTACAAGGAAGTAAAAAAGTGTATTTCCTTCTCTAATCCCAAATACATAATATTAAGAAGAGTCATGTGCTACTTGCCATCCTAAAGCATACCGAATACTGTAGTTTTAAAATGCATGCTTTTTTAAAATTATTTTACATTGACTTACCCCGTTTTTTCAAGTTTTTTACTTTTAAACTGAAAACTAGAGGCCATAAATACGCATCGATATGTCACTGCATTTTTCTTAAATATTGTGATACTTCCCATTTCCATAAAAAATGTAATCTCTTTCCAGTTTGCGTTCGTTGACTCTCTTTTCGATATGTTACTGTAAGAGTAATTTTAATCTAGTCTCGAGTTCTAATCAGAATCTCAGATTTTTGTGAAAAAAATTCAGAAAATATTAATGGCAGGTATTTTTGCGCTCTGACCTTGCTCTCCCTCGATTCATTGCCATGTGTTTCGGTAAACCTTTCTAAATAAATTATTCTTTTATGCTAATAGCTTGCAATTTTAGTTACTTCTTTTTTATTAAAAATACTAACAGTTTATTGTGCGTTTTTATTGATGTGGTACTTCGAAATTATTGAACTATATTCTGTGGTGAAAGAATTCACATTCTACCGTATCTAGTGCTATCAAGAGAGACCGACGAAAGAAAGAATTTGTTGTCCGCATAGCATTTATTTGTCTTAAGGATTTTCGCGACCATTTTTTTTTTTTTTTTAATCACACATTGTCAGCGCTGCATTTTCAGGCAAGCACTGTTTATTGTATATTGATGGGAATGATATCAGCAATAATTAATATATAATAATAAAAGCGTAATTTAAATGCTATGAACAAAAAGAAATAATGAACTGGCAGTTGATTAACTTTTATTTGTATTACAAAGAGTGCGGAAGCAAAGGCATTACCAAAAGTTCATTCTCATTTATGTTTCACTGCTCAAAAATTTTAATTTAGGCAGTCAGTTTTATTTGGTAGATATAATTCACTTTTTGTTGTTTTTAATGTTAAAAGATAATGTGATAAAGGAATTCATTTCACGCATTTTACTCCAGTACTTTCATCGTGTTCTGCTATTTTTCGAAATTATTCACAAAATAAGTACTTACTTCCTTGCGTGATACTTAGCGCCACATTACAAATAATGCCATGCTTCCATAACTACATTCTAGTTATATAGAATACTTTTTTAATCGTTATAACTTTACAAATGGCGTATTACTTTAAAACGCTGAACTTTTCTGCATGTTTCCTATATGTAAATTTCTGAGATTATTTTTTTAATTTATTATATTAGATCTTTTCTTTTAGCAAATTATGTCACACTTTTACGTATAATATACTTGTGTTTTATATACGTATAATATACAGTTTCCTTATTAAGGTTTAAAAAAATTGTATTAGATCTTTTCTTTTCGCAAATTATGTCACACTTAGGATATAAGTGGGGCAATTTATATTAATAATAATTTATAAGTTGTGTTGTTAAAGGTAACCCAATTTCCTTATTAAGAGATTTAGTTACAGAAAAATATTTCCCAGTTTAGGTTAAATTATTTGAATACGGCAAAACACACGAGGGCTGCCTGCCTAAGAGAAGGGATGCCTTTGCGGAGGACTTTCCAAGGAAAACGAGCTCGTATTCACTTTACATATTAAGAAAAGCATTAATACCAACTGTGCAAAAGTATTTGTTACTTGAGAGATTAAGGGAATATATTTATGGCATTAATTTTTTAAATAGATACATAAATTATTTAAACGATAACAATATAAAAATAAGGAAGTTACATTTCATTGTTAATTATATATGAAAGAAGTTAAAATCTCACTTCTGACAAAAGTGTGTAAATTAACATTAATTTATCTCCAAAAGTACAAGTTACTTCATTTTATAAAGAAACCGAATTTTTAATTGTATTTTAAGAAAATTTAATCTATTGTAGAAAATTTTATAAATATAATGAAAATTACTATAAATCGAAATGCATATTTAAGCCAAACTTTAATTGAAATACTAATTCTATTTTAAAAAAAAATTATTTCACTTCTGCAAAAAAGATATTTTATTTTGTTTTTAGAAATTTAAAAATCACATCTTACCCTCTAATTACGTCTACTTTAATTATCTAACCTAATTACATCTAGTTTTGCTTTAACGTATCTCTTTCAGAAATAAGCAATGAAAATATATCAGTTTCTGAAATCGTATTTAACCCTCCAGGCGGCAAGGCCGTATATATGCGTTCGAAAATAATGGCTCTCATAGCGGCAAGGCAGCATATATGCATCCAAATATTTTGGTCCTCATGGCGGCAAGGCAGCATATATACGTAAACTTAAATTTTGGCCCGAAACGGCAAAGCAGCATATACAAAGAATCTATAATGATCCCCTAGAGATTCTTTGAGCATATATACGGCCTGTCTCAGAGTGCCCTCCCCTCTCTGCTCTTAATGTAAACTGACAGGTGATAATTTTTCTCTGCGGGAGGTAATTGAGGAGAGGAAACTATCTATTCGCTAGGGGCAAATGGGTTTTATCGTTAGGTTTTGAATAACAGCTCGGAATAAATAGCTCGTTCAAAACTTCCAGCTGTTCTGTGCTTATACCAGCTATAGTAAACTTAAATGTTTATGTTTGTAAAGAGAATTTTCATTTTCCAGCCTAATTATTCTCCAAATTTTAGATGCAGTTTGGCAAAATG